CAGGAAGGACAACAAGAAGCAGAAAGAATCTTGAAGAAAACCGCATCAATAGTAATCGAAATCCTCATGAATAGTGAGATAAAAGCATACGAGTCTGAAATAAATAGAGTTCGTTATTGAAGGTCTAAGGAAAATGGTTTCCAATGCATTATATTTATCTTTACCACAAACTAGACAAAAGAGAAAAATTGACAGTTATTCTCAGGCGTAAGATACATACAAGTAAAATCAAGCTTACACATTGCTGTAAATATTTCATTGATGAACAAAGATTTTTATGGTTATGTTTCCAATGTTGAATTTGACATGATCGACTACAATACAATGCTATTCGACATTTAGAGCATTGCTTTAATGAGAAACTTTCTGTCGTCGATTGTGCATGTTCATCGTTGCATAAAGACGTAGCAGAAGAGGCAGGATGTTCTTTTTCTTCTGAAACGTCCTTTTGAAGTGGATTGGATGCGGGTGTGGGGTGTGGGTGTGGGTGTGGGTGTGGGTGTGGGTGTGGGTGTGGGTGTGGGTGTGGGTGTGGGTGGGTGTGGGTGTGTGGGTGTGAGTGTGGGGTGTGGGTGGGTGGATGTGGGTGTGGGTGTGCGATTGCTGTTGGAGAGAATAAACACCCACACCAACACCTCAACCACAATTACACCTACACCCACACCCACACCCCACAACACCTCACCCACACCCACACCCACACAACACCTCACCCACAATTACACCTACACTCACACCCACACCCACACCCACACAACACCTCACCCACAATCACGCATACACTCATACCCACACCCATCCACACTTCACCCATAGCAACATCCACACCCACAGCCACAATTAGATTGTAAACGACAATTTCGTGCTTGGTGGAAACAATACCACAAGAAGCAAGGATTGAAGTTAGCCCATGTAAAACTTAGGTTCGCTAGAAAAATCAGTAATACTCTTGAAGAAGCTTTGATTCATAAGAAACCATCACATACAATGCTGACTTAGAGCAAAAATCTATCATTTCAAACAAGGAAAACCTAATCAATCTACTCATGTGTAGATTCTTCCCAAATTTTAGAACCATTGTCATCGGCTATGAACAAAAGTTAGATCATTGAATTTGTCAACAGTCTTCATAAAAAAACATTCGAAAAACAAAACTGTTCTATTTACTCATTGCGGATTATTTTCAATCAAGCATAGGTATAGGATTGAATCACTCACACTTTCACATGTACAACTTTCTTCTTCGAATGATATTGATCGATAAGACAAGATATCGATCAAGTCTTTGTCGTGCAAAAGAGAATTTAAGAATCATAAACAATGAACGATTCAGTAACATCATTCCAAGCCCCTGAAACGTTGGTAAATGTAAGAATTTTCCATTAATGTATATTCGCAGAAACAATCAAAGCTGACTTCATCTCCGACCAACAAACACAAGACCAATTGACATGTTAAAAACATCTTACACACAAATGAAAACAGCAACAGCAGTAACCCTAGTCACACACAAAAGAACACACATCATATGATGTCTTGGTTCCTGCTTATATAGCGTAAACACACCCCAGACCCATGCCATTAATTTCCTCCTCCAATCTAAAACTGTTTTTTTCAATACTTTGTGAAACCTTAATTTGGATTAATATTTTGCATCTAAAATTATTTTTGCAACCATAGGATTTGATCTGAGTGTACAAAGCTTTTATTTAACCTGTTTTAAAAATTATATGGTTTTATTATCAAGCTACGAAATAAATCAAATAAGAACTATGTACTTAGAGAGACTAATTCATATTCTTTCAAATCGTATGAGATTAAAAAACTTGTAACATTTCATAGAAATACAGCAAACTGGTGAAAACTAGTAAATATTAGTGAATCATCCTGTTATCCATTCATTTGCCATTTTGAAATCGGTCTTTGATTTTACATGCACCATGTATACAATTGTTTGTAAATGTGTTGTAATGTTTTCCGCCTGCTCTAACTAAATCACCTAATCCTACAGATTGAGATCCAGGTTGCATCGATAAACCATGTGGTGTCCACTTTCTTGACATTTGATTAGCATCAACAACAACAGTTTGAGAATTGTGACCAAAACCAGGTCCTTTATGAACAAGAAAACGTTCACCATTTTCCAATGTTGCTACTTGACCACGATGATTGATACCCCATTGATTCAATTTTCCGGCAACATCATATCCTCCAATTGGTTTTATTTCTAATGGTCGACGATATTATTGAAGTGAAGTTATCCGTTGGTTGTATAAAGAATTAAGACCTTGTTGATTGTGTGTATGGGGGAGCCTTTGAGACAGAAAAAATGCCTGAGATGGCATTAGTACCGAAAGTAGAACAATAACGGCCCGAATTATATCCATTTCGAATAATGAATAAAGTATGCAGTATCTATCTGAAATAAAAACATAAAACATATCATCAACATAAATAATTGCTATTAAGCTAAAATCTCAGAAAACTAGAATAAGTACTTTCGACGCTTGTGAAATCGAATTTTTCGACTCAATACTATGAATTACAATGAATCGCCGTGTGCCAATAAATCACAAAGCAATGAATAATTTTGTATTTGTATTCCGAAGCTTCTATGTCCTGACGTGTAAAATGATACTACGACAAATACAGCACAGAGCCTCAGATTTGTGGGAGAAAACTTATGTTGTTTACGGTGAATTACAGTAGCCAATCTATCCAAATAAGTTGTAGTTAAAATCAAATAGTTTAATAGTCGAGGAAAGAAACGTCAAACCATCTTTTTTTGTTGTCGAATATGTTAGTTTTCATGATTTCTCAGTGGCATGTTGTTTTTGTGATCTTGATTAGTTGACGCACGAAACATGTTCTAACATCTCACATAGCATAATTCGTATATTTATTTGAAACTAATAAAATATTACACAAAAAATCTTCCACGAACGGGTTTTGATGTGAAAGAATCTTGCAACTGGTAGGTTGTTAAATAAAAACGACTATTTTTCTTCTAGTGTCAATTCTCACGTGACGAAGCACTTAATACATACTTCTCTCATTTATTGTCTATGACTTAAGATTTGAGAAAAACATTACCGTCAATGGTATATTCGTCAGTCAAGTACCAAATATAGACTGTCTGTTGTTTATTTGTTACTGCGTGTCTATTGAAAAAAATCAGCTCTCTTATATAGTACTTTGTTTATCGTAAATCTACGAATTTGTGTGCATTGTAATCTGATTGGAGGAAAAATCTGAATTTCATGTTGGAATCCCTGATCATTGGCACTTGATTGAGGAAGTACCAACATCTTTCTTCCTTTATGATGTGGCGAATATAATACTGTAGCTTTGACTCATACATACATAGGTGAAAATCAATCCATTAGATAACCTTTGCCTCATAACATTGTATAGAGTATGAAAACAAACAAAAAATGAAGCTTCTACTCATGAGTCAGGTTAGAAAGATGAAAGACAAATCGCTTGTTTGTACAAATAATTACATCTCTCTCAATCGAACGACAAAATAGTTTTGGTAATAGAATATTCGAGATAACAAATATGTTTTCTCTTTTACAAGATAATAAACGAAATGTTGTGTGACCGGCAAATATCGTTGCGCTTATATATTCTTTAGTGGGTTTGGGTGTGAGTATAGTTGCTGCTTTGAAAGAGCTGAATATTTATGACCCCCACGTCCACACCTTTAATTACACGATGTTTTTGTCGTGGAATAATGCTTAAAAATACTCTAATTTACCAATACAAGCAATCAGTTCGGAGAACTATGAGAACTGCGTCTGTTGATTTGAACCAATGAGCCAATGAGATTAGTTAAAAAGTTTGTTAGCGTAGTCCCTTTGGAGTTAAGATGCGGAACTCACATATTCTATATAAGTCAGAAATGTAACCACGTTTAACATCGATTGTTATGGTCTGTAATTGAGGAATGGTGTCTGTATGGAGGGTCTTGTTTGCTAAGGCCTAGCATGCGGAAGAGGCAGTGGAGGAGAGCCGCAAAACTTTGACTTAAAACTGACATACTATTTTCTTCGAAAACATATGTAAGTTTCACAAATATATATTATTGGCTTTACAAGAGCTGGGTGTGGGAATAGATCATTTAAATCTCCACAACCCACCTCGCCTCCACACCCAGCCACACCCACGTTCTTCATCAACATTGGATGTTGGTTCACTTGACAGTAGACTGATGGAATTCTGATAGAGCTTCCTTATATTTTTTTAAAACATCAATTCTGTATGATGGTGCGTTCAAGAGGAAGTAACAATACTTGTAACATGTCTCCCATAGTATTTTACGAGTTTACTCAAACAGTTCATACAGAATATCGAAAGATGCTAGTCTCTATCATAAAGTATATGCCTTGGTTGATTCCAACAACTGAAGATGGAGATTTCTGCCATAAAAATGAGTACGTCTAAAACCGACATAGATGATTGTGACAGAGATATGTTCATTCGAGCAATAAGAATGGTCAACTGTCCCATAGAAATAGTTGACTGTACCGTAAAAATGATTTATTGAGCCAGCAAAAAAAGGGTCCTTTGTATAATGAAAATGACCAATTGTGCCAAATGAAGGATCGTCCTACCGCCAAAGTGGAACTGTTTTTTTTTAATATGACAACTGCCACGTGTACTGTGGCCTCGCAGCAGCCTTGCGAAAAAATATAGGAATATATAGGAATTTAGAGGCCAAAAATATATAGGACCACCTTGAACTATATAGAAAGTATGCAGGGCGCTAATTTTCCCCTATAAAATGTTTTTAACGCTTAGAAAAACTGTAGCTATATCGTGAATTGTAATGAGGTTAATATTTTACATTTTTTTGATAAGCTAAATAAAAAAGTATCATCAAATAGTGAAAAGTAATAGTACAAATATTTTTCAACAATAAACAGAGAAATGTCGGTTCGAGTTATTTTTAACCATTCTACAGATAAATACAACAAAAGTCTTAAAAAAACAAATTAAAGGTTTTGACATCCGTATACTCCATCCAATGCGAAGCCAACTTGTACCATCCCTATGGTACGATAACAGAAAATCAAACCCTCAGCATAGAATTTTGTTTTAAATAGTTTATAATATCGTTTCATGAGGCTCATAAACCTTTCTAAGAAAATCTGTTCTGAGAAAAAAATTCGTGCTTTTTTCATGGAAAAAATTCAAAAGCGGTTAGAAAATTCTGGCTATAGATATATAACCCCTTTATAGAAATAATATATTGCCATTCTAATTATTGGCTTTTAAAATTTTATTTATATTATGTTCTTAATCAAAATAAAAAGCTCTATCTTATGAAATTTTTTTATTAGTCTTAATATGCAATGGTTTGCTTGAAATTCGTATAATATAGTCCCGATGTTACTAGTGTATCTTGTAAACATATCTTCTTTTTTTAAACAAGATAAAAGAAGTATTCATTTAGATCATTCGAACGAACTTTAAAAATACTACAAACCTATAGATAGACTATTTTTTATACCTCTTTTTATAAGAAAAAAATCTCTTTCTTTATAAGCATTCGTTAGATGAAAGAACTATTTCCCTTATATATCGAATAAACAATCATTCGAATGGCATTTATACACACATACCTCTTTTTTAAATTTTACATATTAAAATAAGTTTTAACACACATCTAACATATTTTATTACAATAAAAACTTTTTGTTGGACTTTTTATTTAATCAAATTCTGGATAATTCAGATTGATGCTACGATAATCTATGAATTATTCAATTGTGTAAGTCAATTACCACGTACGTCATAATTTCATCTGTTAGAGAGCTTTTTCTTTCTTTTTTTGTTGAATTTCAGGTTTATATTGCTAAATACAGTATTCATAAAAAACAAAAAGAGGGAAAAAAAATAACACAGTCAGAATGGTTGTCAAGATTGCTTCTTACAACTTTTTTGTGACAAGTAACTTGTCTTTTACAAGAATTACTAAAAAAAAATTTTAATACATCCCAATAGGATTTTTCTTGTTTATAAAATAAACGAGCATTCTAAAAACAACAAAATAGTAGGTGTGGATGTGAGTGAACGAAGGATAGAAAGCTTCTACACCCACACCCAACCCCAAAATAAATAGATCAATCTTAATTTGTTTCTCGAGCCTCTATAATGGCGTCTAGGTTTTCCATTAACTCGTTCAAATTCCTTGAATGCCCACAAATATTCCTCAAATAGAAAAGTTCTGATATGGATCACGTTGTTTGAAATCAGACTTGCTAAAAGTGGAATTGAAAATGTTCGATCTGGATATTTTCCAGTTAATCATGAAGAAACGTACTGTTCGCATCGAAATTGACATAGAGATATAAAATACATTATGCAGAAAGTAACGATTTTAGTTTCAAACAATACAAGTACTTATTTAAGTAATTCTCCATCTTCAGGATAAGCGAACTAGTCTGACTAGAGTGCATCTACCCTTTGCTACAATTGAAACTAATTTTTTTTATATAAAAATTAAAATTATTTTTAGATATTTCAAAAATATTGCTTGTCAAAAAAAACAACACGTCTTATATGTAAAACTCTATAAGTTTATTTCAATTTTCCCTTTCAAAAATTCATGATTCTCGAGATATGTATGATATCTTGTCATTTTATGAAAGACTATCTGAAAGGAATCTTAGATCATGGTAGCCAGACAGTGCCATCATGTGTATATCGTTCATTCTTTTCATCTCTCACATGTGCTCTGAATATTTTTTTTGGTTGATTGTCCTAGTGCCTTTATTAATATATACACTGTATCTAACTTACAAATATTCTCAAATTTCAATCGATAGCTGATACCAAAATAAAAATTAATTATCTTCGTTCGTCCAATGCAGGATTCTATAGAGAAAAGCCGAATTGCCAAGCGATTTAATGTACTTTTTTTAAAAATAAATTTCATCATGAAGAAAATCATGGATAATACTCCTGTCCGCATCCTTTTGATTTTACGACTGTATCATATTCCACATTTTAATCCCGAATAGATTGCCCTTGAAGCTTATTTGAATATAAATTGAAAAAGTACGAACATAGATTTTATATTTGAGATCAAATATATATGTTGCAATCAAATTTGTTTATCACTAGGGGTTCTAAATTGTTAATACTAAGCAGTTTTTCGAAATATACACTCGAATATTTCAAAGTAGGACCAGATCCATTATTGACAGTAAGAGCTTCATTTGATATTGCACTACAAACAATTCACAAAAGTAGAGATTTTACAATACGAAATCTGATCATTTTATGAACGATAATTAGTAAAAGGCAAAATTTTAAAAATATCACATAAACAATAGCTGAAAATGTAATACGAACGTCCACATATTTTTCCATCTTAGCTGTGATCAAGGGAGAAGGCTTAGATCTGATAAGAAAAATACAGAGTGTATCAAATAGAAACAAATTTTACATACATATTGCATCAAATTCCACAAGGTTAAAGTAGAGAAAGATAGCAAGATAGTATTTTTGGCCTGTATCTATTCGTTATTGTCATAGTTTTGTTCGTACTTCATTAGGTACTCTATGATAATGAGAGTAAGGTGTTGATTTGTGACTGTTTCGATAGTTTCCTGACGTCAAAAATTCACTTTGTAATCCTTATTTCTTACATTCAATCGTCATTTATGTATTCAAAAATCTCAGTTTTGAATAGCTCATAGGAAACGAACGTATATATATATATATATAAATTAGTACTTAGAATGTTTTTTTTTAGAATCAATAAATAAAAATAAATGGAAAAATTGCGTTTGATCATATTACTTGCTGAACTCGTAATAGGTTCATGGTGTAATACATTGACGACGGAACCGGCTACTGTCACCAAGACATTTGTACCGAGTCAAATGTTGTTCGCTAATCCGGAACGAGGATGGAGTGTACAACGATATTCTCATGATATGTGGGGATTGGACATTCTTCGGAACAGTACAGAAAAAGTGTCACTAGTTCATATCAATATAGACTTGTCAGGCTACGTCAACAGTGCACATATTGGTCAAGCGAAATTGAATGAAGTTCGCACAGCGCTCAATAGCTGTCGTACACGAGGATTGAAAGTTATTTTGCGTTCGGCTTATGCATGGACTGAAACATTGGCTCCAGATCCAAAGGATATTCAAATCATTAGAACACATGTCATGGATATGCAACCAATTTATAACGATTATGAAGATGTGATCATTGCGGTCGAAATGGGTATGTTTGGGCCATGGGGTGAAATGCATTCCTCACATTACAGTACTATAAATACTCAAATGTATTATCCGATTGCAATCAGTGCACTTAAACAGGTTCATAGCACGTATATGTCTGCACTTTCGACTAGACGCTCTGTACTTGTTCGTAGACCCTATTATATTCGTCAAATTTTTAACGATAGCAAACCACTTATGCCTAATGAGGCTTATGGCAGTTCAGCGAAAGCACGTACCGGTTATCACAATGACGCATATCTCAACAGCGAAGATGAGGGTGGCACATTCTCGCACGGCTGGTCACGAGATCAAGAACTTGCTTACATCCATAACATGACTCGTTATACATTTTTTGGTGGCGAAGCCTACGGTACGCCAAACGGTGAATACAACAATGGTAATAACGCAATGTTGGAATCCAAACAGCAACACATGACGTATCTTCATCGAGATTACTATAAACCGATCTTTGATGCATGGAGTAATTCGATTAGAGAAGATTTTACGCGTAAACTTGGCTACCGCTTCGAGTTGAAGAGTCTTTCTTATTCCAAAGAAGTAGCGCCCGGTGGTATATTCAACTTTATTCTGAAAGTGCAAAATATTGGATTTGCAGCAATGCATCTGACACGACCAGTGAATCTGATCATTGACAATGGCAAGACAGGAAGTCAAAATATAAGATACCAAGCTACTCTCAGCATAGACGTTCGTACTTGGACACCCGAAGCTGGCGTAGTAACTATTGACCGCAAGCTACGTATTCCGGCCACTATCAATCAAGGTCTTTGGCAACTATTGCTAGCTCTGCCTGATAGCAGTGCACAATTACAAGATGATGAACGTTATGCAGTTCGATTCGGCAATGATAATGTCTGGAATGCTGATGGTACAAATCTACTAGTAAAAGATATTTCCATTACAGCTTCTGCTCCTGGGTCACATACCAATGATGATATTTTTCAAGAAATTACTAGTACTAGTACTACTACTCCTACAACATCCATTAGTCAAATTAGTGCTGTGAAAATACCAAACTCTCTAATTCTTTCGGCTACCTATGATATAGTTTATTCTTATCATCAAGCTTTTATTGATGCCGACAATAATCCTGCAACTGGCTATTTTGTTAAAAGCATAGGTGCAGACTTTCTCGTAGAAAATAGTCGCTATTATGATCATAAAGGAAACACTGGAAGTGATTGGTTATGGCAACAGATCAACGGAACAGTTACATCTTCAATCAATGATCATCAGTATGTCTGGCAATTGCCATTAGCTAGTCTGAAATTATCGATTACGGCAGCAAGCAAGATAGTTTTTGCAGGTTCAAAAGACGACAAAGAAAATTACTCTGCAGTAATATCTGTTATAATAAATAACAGCTAACTTTATTTGTAAGAAATGTACAACTTTTATGAGTCGGTATTACGCATATGAAAATGCTTATGAATGTGTCGATTTGGCATTAATATATGCTGCATTATCTTTCTTTTATCCTTTCCATATTCAAGCTACAGTGTGGGATGAGCGTGAGTCTTGAGGGTTTGGGTGTAGGTGTAAACGAAGGGAAGAGTAATATTCATAGTCACACTATTTCACATCCAAATCTACACCAAAATTTCACATACGTTTCAAATTTGATATTATCATACAACTTGTTGTCTAAACTATGAAGTTTACTTTTCGATAATGAAATTAACAACTTTTTAATCAGATTCTACAAACAGTAATCCGTTAGCTGTACGTAGTATTGACAGACTTTGGGTTTTTGCTTCGTATTACAAAATTTTTCGAAGAACATCAGTAGAAATTTCTGTTTTACTTACAGAAAACATTTAATCATTTTGTTGTTGAATTTCTCTAAAAGATTTAATTTAAATTATCCATGTACATCAGGGTATGTGGATTTTGATGTTATATCAGTTTATTTAGATCTACAGAAACACTCACGCTCTCCGATTAAAACTTTAGCTTCAACAACTATTTACATTGCAAAGTATTATTTAGAAGAGTTTAAATGAACGTAAGTGTATCTATGACCTATTTCTTAATTCGCTACACACACAAAACTCATGAATTTCGACGTCGTCATGACCGAACTAATCAACAATAAATAATACAATATCCTCAAAACAAAATCCCTAGTTATACAGCATTTATGTATATTTATATAAATATCTATTTTCTTAAAAATTATCTTTCTTCCAAAAAAAGGCATTTCTAATCACGTCTTCCGGTATCAATCATATTCCATGCATGAAATAAATATATAATTGTGTTTTTCAAATACTGAATTTCAAAAAAGAAAATATGGAAAGAAATAATTTTAAATAATAATGAATCACTAAAATAATTGCCTAAACATTCAACTTGTTCAGCAGATATACATTTTTGATGTTGAACAGAAAAACGAAAACCTAGTTCGCATGATGTATAATTAAATGTTCAATCATAAAGAAATGTATAATGATAATGATAATTTAATCGATATTTATCAGTATAATTACCATTTGATCTATTTCAAAAATCGGGTGCAAGCGTACACAATGGAGAATAATAATAATCACCTGCATTTATAGAATAACTAATAATAAAAATCTTATTCTGTACAACGAGAGAAAAAAAGAGATGTGCAGAATTTTCGGATTAGACCAACTGTTATTTTCATACATTAATTGGAAAAACGGGAGTGGATATTCTAGCAAAATAGCCCCTACTTGAAAATTTTCAGAAAGTTTTCACTAATTTTATATGATTAGAAAGATAATAAGAGTGGGTGTGGATCTGAATAAAGAATGAGCCAACATCTACACCCACATCCTAGTATAAGGGCGAATAAGGCCGTTTTCTCATCCCCAAAATATTTCAGTTTTTTATATTAAAATCAAGTCAACAACAACTTCTGATGATGCTGCGAAGGTTTATTTTGCAACATCTTTCCATCAATTTTTTGACTCATACCTGTACTTCTCCACAGCAGTGTTAAAAATAAGCTTTGACTATTCCTGTGGGGGGGGGGGGGGGTACAGTTATGGGTCAAAAAATCGATGGAGAGATGTTGCAAAATAAACCTTTGCAGTATCATCAGGAGTCGTTGTTGATTTGATTTTAATACAAAATTCAAATTATTTTGGGGGTGAGAAAACGGCCTTGTTCGTCCTCGTCCTTTAAGTTTGTATGTCTCTTGTTAAAAGCTATTTGATACATTACAAAGGTAAATGAAAATAATGATATACAATTTTAGTATATATTTACATATCTTATATTTTTTAAATTACTACCTATTCAATGATTGAAATGTGAAAATTTTATTTAAACGTAAGTAAAAGTAATTATAATAATCTAATATGACAAATCATCAGATCGAATAAAAATATATGAATAAATAAAATGTAAAATAAAAAGGATGTTACATAATATTTTATTCTACAAGAAGAGAAACAAAATGATATCAAAGTTTTGCTTTTTCGTTAACTGATTATTTTTATGAAAATATTGAAAGAAAAAACATTTAATTTTTTTGATTTTTTTTATCAACTCTAAATTAAAAAAGTCTGTGTCATCAAAATCATCAGAAAAATACAACAAAAATAACATCATCTTTTTTTAATTATCATAGTATATTTTATTCTCTAAATATATGATTTATTTTCTTTTAACGATACAATTCTATTTTTAGACTTAAATGATAACAAAATATTGAAAATCAGATTCTTTTTTTTTGAATAAGAGATTTTTTGCATTTGTTTCACTCAAATTCATTTTTTAATTTAAAATTGAAACAAAAAATGAGTTTTTCTCTCTTGTTATTACACTATCAGTTGTTATTTCAATAAATATTATCAGTTAAATTTATTGATAACCAATAAAGATTTTTGATATTGAATAGATTTGAAAAATTTTAAATAATCATATATATTTTTCTTTTGACTAATTTATTATATTAAAATTAAACTATAAATCCAAAAAGTATGTAACTGTAGAATGCTAGTATTAACGAATGAAAGATTAAATTCATACTGTATATTCAAACGCTCACATCCACATTTATAGTAAATATTTACATCAATGTTTCTTTTCTTCTTTAGAAAAAAATTGAAAAGTAAATTTATTTTAAAATTGAGTTAGACCATAAATATAAATCTTAAATAATTTATATCCAAGAAAAATAACGATCGATAGTTTTTGGAAAAAATATATTCTTTAATGAATAAGATAAGAATTAAAAAATTGAGAATTTTTCTATTTAATTATTTAAGATTTTCATATATATAAATTTGAATACATATATATTATAGATAATAATTTAAAATAAAACAATAATTATTAATCTCTTTTCTAGAATTATTTTTTTTTATCTAATAAAATTCAATTTTGAACATATTATCTTTTGTATATTTTTATTTTGATTTTAAGAGTAATTTAATAAAATTTAAGAGAATAATATATTGATTTAATTGAAAGTAAAGAAATGAAAAATTCTTTTTAAGATTTTTCTTTAAAGATTAATAATTCTTTATTTAATAAAATTTAGAATTATTGTATTATATTAATCTTTTCGTATTAAAATATATCAAAGAAAAATTAAAAATACCTTTTTTTTTATAAATTTCAATATGAATAATAGAACAACAAGTACTTTCTATTTTGAAATAAAGTTCAATTGAATTATTTTTTTCATCTTATAAAAAAAATTCTGTTAAATTAAAATTGTGATCTGATAGAAGACTTATAAATTCATATAAATTAAAATTAAAAAAATAATAAAGATTTTATTATAACAAAAATAAGATCTTACTAAAAAATGAGAAATTGACTATTGTTCTTTAATAATTTTTCTATAATTCTCACAATAGAATAGATCAGATTTTTGTAGAAAAACTCGAAAATTTATGGATGACATATTTAGAATTTAAAACATGAGAAAATTTTGTCTTAAAGATTTATGTTTTTTTTTTCAAAAAAATATTCAAAAACTATTTTTTAAAAATAAAATATAACAAATTCAGAAAATCTCACAGAACGTATGATTTATAGAATAATTTATTTAATTTTGCTAGAAGATCAAGTATAGATATAGAGGACTATTTATCTTAAAAATTAAGTGAAAATCAAATAATTTAAAATATTTAGATTTTATGATACTATAAATGGAAGATCAGAAAATTTGAAACAATTTATATATACATACTTCTCACGAACTTATCGATATTAAAATCGTTAGATTAAAATAATACAAGAAATAGATAGATGAAAAGTTTCTCAATTAAAATATATATAAAGATTTTATCGAATGATATACAATAAAAGTTAAAATTTTACACGGTATTATAATTTAAGATAAAACTAACACTTTGTTTTTTTAGAATAAACATAAATAAAAATTTGTCTGATATATCTATATATTTGAAATTCATTAAGTAATTGATTGTTATCAATAAAACTGTAGGTCAATAGTGAAATTCTTTGTAAATATTTATTATATTAATTATAATAAAAATATCCCATATCTTAAAATTAATCAATGTTTCATAAGAAAAGTTTATCCAATTTATCAGAATTGACATTAACTCAACAACGAAGATATTTGTTACCAAGTTAAATATAAAATATTATTTATTCTTTCTTTTCTGATAAATTTAACAATTATCAATTAAAATAAAAAGATTTATTCTTTCTTATTCATCTTCTGTTATAATGCTTAGACATATTTAGAATTATGTGCAAAATTTCAGATTTCTAAGTCGTGTCTTGGCTGTAGTCGATCATTTCTTTTATGCTAGGTCGCGCAGCCTGCTAACAGATGACCCATCTTGTAGGAGATAGCTTTTTGTCTCATATTTTGATTTCTAAATTCCTTCTATTAAAAAGCAAAATATGTCAGAAGATGCAGCATGAGAAGCTCTATAATTTACACAGAACAATTAGTTTTACATTTTCATTTTTTGTGTGAAAAACTCGCCAAAGCTGTCAGTAATCACATTTAGCGGTGGAAAAACAATGTTTTTTCGATTAAAGATCAATTTCCTTCTTTCTTATTTCATCTTGCCTTACTTGATATTTTTTATTAAACAAAAAACAAAACGTACTACAGTATGTGGCGTAAAAATCTCTACAATTTGCATAAGATGCTTTATTTTGCAGTTGCATTTATTTGTTTCTAAAAGCCACAAAATTCGGAATGATCGAATTTTAACCTTGGAGAAGTGTTGCTTTCGTATGCGATGAACACACCTTTCTTATTCAGCGTCTGATATGCAGTATCTAAAAACTGACAAAATGCACCACAAGATGAAGGGTGAAAAGCTTTACAATTTGTAATTGACAATATATATTATGTATGCAGTTTTTGTTATTAAGAACAAGCAGAATTCTAAGCGACCAAT